GTTTGATCTGTAACTGACTGTGAACAATCAATTGAGATAACTCACTACCTTCGGACCAGCCAATTCCACTTTCTTAAAACAATTAGTCAATACACCATTGTTACTACCATGTTTTTTTTTTTTTTTTTTTTTGAGACAGAGTCTCACTTTGTTGCCCAGGCTGGAGTATAGTGGTGCCATCTCGGCTTACTGCAGCCTCTGCCTCCCAGGTTCAAGCAGTTAACTGCCTCAGGCTCCCACGTAGCTGGGATTATAGGTGCCCACCACCATGCCCAGCTAATTTTTTGTATTTTTAGTAGAGATGGAGTTTTAATATCTTGGCCAGACTGGTCTTGAACTCCTGACCTCATGATCCACCTGCCTCAGCCTCCCAAAGTGCTGGGATTACAGGTGTGAGCCACTGCTCCCAGCCTATTACTACTTCTTTAAGACAACTCAAATTAGCTTCTGATGAACCATTTTTGGCTTTTCAGAAACAGCTAAATACTGTATCTTGCACTTTGATGAACTGTTGTGATTCTTTAGCTCAAACAAAATTGTGAACATAAAAAATTTTTAAAAATTAAAATGGACAAGATTCTAGGCATTGGGCCTTCTGTCAATTTAGTAGGACTGAAAAGTATTTGGGGGCCTACATTCATGCCCCCATTTTGATTCAGTATCTTGAAATCCATGGTATGTTGCAGTTTAGGTTATATCAAAATGTGAACTCAAGGCCAGGTGCAGTGGCTCATGCCTGTAATCCTAGCACTTTGGGAGGTTGAGGCGGGTGGTTCATTTGAGGTCAGGAGTTTGAGACCAGCCTGACAAACATGGTGAAACCCTGTCTCTCCTAAAAATGCAAAATTAGCCAGGTGTGGTTGCGCACTCCTGTAGTCCCAGTTACTTGAGAGGCTGAGGCAGGAGAATCACTTGAACCTGGGAGACATTGGTTTCAGTGAACTGAGATTGTGCAATTGCACTCCAGCCTGGGCAATAAGAGCGAAACTCCGTCTCAAAAAAAAACAAAAACAAAAACAAAAACAATTTTCCCTTCTAGTTGCCATTTCACATTAGCAGGTGATTCTGAAAGTTAAATTCTACATCTTGTTTCAGAATTTGTGTGGTAGCAGGGTATTCACCAAAAGAGAGTGTGATAATTCTTTTTTTTTTTTTTTGAGGTCTCAAACTCCTGACCCCTACCTCAGGTGATTCACCTGCCTTGACCTCCCAAAGTGCTGGGATTACAGGCATGAGCCACCACACCCAGAATGTTTTCATCTTTTTTTTTTTTTGAGACAGGGTCTCACTCTTGCCCAGGCTGGAGTGCAGTGGTGTGACCATGGCTCACTGCAGTCTCAAACTTATAGGCTCATATGGTCCTCTGCCTCAGCCTCCCAAGTAGCTAGGATTACAGGTATGTGCCACCATGCTCAGCTAATTTTTAAATTTTTCTTTTGTAGGGATAGGGTCTTGCTATATTGACTAGGCTGGTTTTGAACTCCTGCCCTCAAGCAGTCCTCCTGCCTTGACTTCCCAAAGTGGTGGGATTATAGGAACTAAGCCACTGCACCCAGTCAAGTTTTCATCTATTGCTTTAACATATGAGAGCTAAAAATGATGTGTAAATTATTAGTTTTTTGGAAACATCTTTAGTTTTCTGTAAGAAAACATAGTATTTATTAAAAAAAATAATAAGATAGCGGCTGGTTCTGTTGGCTCACACCTATAATCTCAGCACTTTGGGAGTCCAAGGTGGGCGGATCGACCAGCCTGGCAACATGGTGAAACTCCATCTCCACTAAAAATACAAAAATTAGCCGGGCATGGTGGCACGTGCCTATAATCCCAGCTACTTGGGAGGCTGAGGCACAAGAATCTCTTGAACCTGAGAGGTGGATATTGTTGCAGTGAGCCAGATCGCACCACTGCACTCCAACCTGGACGACAGAGTGAGACTCTGTCTCAAAAGAAAACAAAAGGGCTGTAGCAAATTCTTTTCAACCTAGACTTGGACTCATTTGTCTGGATGGATCAGTGATTGTCCTGAATATGAGAGCTGTAGTTCTAGTACAGAGACAGAAACTACCATGGGTCTTTTCTTGTAGCTAGTGTGCTTAAGATGGATTCACCACTCAGAATGATTTGCTTGAAAGGTGAGGAGGTCTTTATAACATGGAGGAGAATATGAAGCAAAATTTCAGAAAGATAGCAAAATCTGTAAATAGCATCTTATTAACCTATTTGAGAATGCCATAAAAGCAAGCCACAAAAGTCTGGCATGTGCATTACTGAAAAGAGAATTTTATGTTTCTCACATAGTTCTTAGACATAATAAACTTTTTTCCTATGAATCTACATAGAGAACTAAGGCATAATAAACTTATTTAATTTTTTTTTCTTAATTTGACTGTGTAAGTAGCATTTCCTTCTTGTCCTTCAATTGACTGTCTTTCTATTTGAGGGTTTTATTAAACTGAGATAGTTTAATTAACTCTGACTTTTCAATGTTATCCATATGAAAAAAGCCTAAACTAATATGACTCTAGTAATTTACACAATATTTATTCATCAGTCCTTAAGTAATTTAAAAATTGCACCTACATGGAAAATTATTTTGGTTATTGTTTTTCTAAAAATTACTCGAGGTAGTAGTGCTACTGCTACTAATACTAACTGAGCAGTGCTGCTTTATTTATTTATTTACTTGTTTGTTTTAAAGACAAGGCCTGTCTCTGTTACCCAGGCTGCTCTCAAACTCTAGGCTTCAAGTGATCCTCCTGCTTCTGCCTCCCAAAGTGCTGGAATTACAGATGTGAGCCCCCATATCCAGCCCTGTTTTACTTATTAGATACCTGTCATATTTCAAACTTTCTAAACTTGTGCATTGTTTTATTTCTTTCTCTTTTTTTAAGACGGAGTCTTGCTCTGTCGCCAGGCTGGAGTGCGGTGGCGCAATCTCAGGTCACTGCAACCTCCGCCTCCCGAATTCAAGCAATTCTCCTGCCTCAGCCTCCCAAGTAGCTGGGTCTACAGGCATGAGCCACCATGCCCAGCTAATTTTTACATTTTAGTAGAGACGGGGTTTCACCATGTTGGCCAGGTTGGTCTCAATTTCTTGACCTTGTTATTTGCCTGCCTCGGCCTTCCAAAATGCTGGGATTACCTACCACGCCCAGCCTATTTTATTTAATTCTTAACCCTGGGATATAGGTACTATTATGATTATTTTCATTTTACACATTTGATATTGGAAGACATTGGGTATGATGAAATTTTAGAAATACTATTTTCATTTAGTTTTATTATGTTGGCTGAGAGTCCTGTGTTTCATGCAGTAACTTTGAGCATAACATTGTGATAGGAAACCTGTTTCAATCATGTTAAGTGATTTGTCCAAGGACACATGCTATATGTCTGATCCAAGATTTGAATCTAGACCTCTGAATCCAAATCCCATATATGCACCGTTGTTATTATTACACTAAGTGAATTACATTCACTAGTCTTACTTCATTTGAAAAAAATCGTTCAAGTTATTAATAGAATGCAACACTCATATTGGTAGTATATGGTGGTAAATGAAGATTATACTTTTGTGCTCCTGCATTTTTATCATCTTCTGACACCTCCAAAGGTAGAGTATGAGATAGATATGTAGAATGCAGGGCCTCCAGATATTCCAGTCCGAAAGTTTAGACTTTTTGGTTATTTTAAGAAGTTGTATAATGCTACTCATTTTCTGTGTGTCTTTTCACTAAAGTTTGTTGTTGTTGCCTTTTTGCAGCAGTGATTCCAGCAGTAGTTCAAGTGATGATTCTCCAGCTCGATCAGTTCAGTCTGCAGCAGTCCCAGCACCCACTTCCCAGTTGCTTTCATCTTTGGAAAAAGATGAACCCCGTAAAAGTTTTGGGATCAAGGTCCAGAATCTTCCAGTACGCTCTACAGGTAAAATTTTGTGTGAATGTTCTTTCCTCTGTGCTGCTACTGAGGAATGAGGTATGATACTGCATTAAGTTGAAATAACTTTGGGCATAAAATTATAGAAAACACATTTCAAAATATTAACATTTTAAATGAGGAAAGCCATAAGTAATGGAAAAGTCTGCTTAAGCTATTCTGTGGTCTCTCCTTGAAATATTTTTAATTGACAGTTGATCATAATATACTATTACTCCTACATTCGGCATGTTGATCGTGTAAACAAGTTAAATCTGTTAGTAGATAGTCCTGCTAACAAAGACAAAATTAAGTATTTCTTAGCCAAGTGTATTTCAGTGATTGCTTAAATTATTTATTAAAATAGCCTATAAAACTTAGGTATCAGGTTTGTGAATAGTGTTATTGAGGCACCAATGTTGATGGACTTTTTGTTTAGAACTATTGGTAATTGAGAAATGGACAAGGGAGTAAATTGGCTTGCCTTTTTGTGCACCTTTTGTATTTCTAATAAAGCAAACTAACCCAAGCCCCCCAAATGGTATGATTCATCTGTAAAAGACATTAAAATTGCTTAGCATGCTACATGACACTTCTCACACAGTTTTATCCTTGAGATGATCCTTGGAAAGACAGAAGGATACCTTAACATTTCAAGTCTCTAACACTTTTATTTAATTATAAACATATATAAAGTTTTATGAAACATATGCCAAAGTAGAAGGAATAGCAAAATGAATTCCCCTTATACAATATCCAAGATTCAGAAATTATTTTGTCATTTTTGCTTTATCTGTTTCCTGTCTTCCTGCTTTGCTACAGTTTTTTTCTTTTCACCTTTAAAGTGGATCCCTGATGATGTTTTATTTCATACCTACTTACAGATATATATTTATGTATATATCTGTAATATATGAGGACATTTTTCTGCATAGTGTCATTATTACCTAACAACCAATACTATCATCTAACAGTTTATTTTCAGAATTGTACAATAATCTCCAATATGCCTTTTTTGGGGCTTTTTTGTTTGAATAAGTAATGTTTTAATGACGTAAAACTTAGGTCAAAAACCAAGCTAGATGCTTTTGTGGTTCATAAGCGTGATGACTGGGTTTTATGCCGTGTGAGACGTGCCTCCCTCAGGCCTTGTTATGACAATTGGCATATTACCTATCTGACATGAACAGAAAAATAAGAAAACCGGGCTAAAGATTTGGTAGTTTGCTTATTGAGTTGTAATTAAATTAGAAGAACTAATAACTTGGCTTTGTTTGGGAATTTAGATACAAGCCTTAAAGATGGCCTTTTCCATGAATTTAAGAAATTTGGAAAAGTAACTTCAGTGCAGATACATGGAGCTTCAGAAGAAAGGTACGGTCTGGTATTCTTTCGGCAGCAGGAGGACCAAGAAAAAGCATTGACTGCGTCAAAAGGAAAACTTTTCTTTGGCATGCAGATTGAAGTAACAGCATGGATAGGGCCAGGTAAGACACAAGCAAGCTGAATTTGAGTTATACATCATACACACTCTGTTGTATAAGAGGGCAGCATATGGTCCTGAATGTGGGCACTATTTTGGCTTTATTGACATTTCCATTGTCTTCTGTTTAAAAAGATGATTCTATTTATTGTTCAACTTAATAAAAAGTACTGTTTTGCTGGGCATGGTGGCTCATGCCTGTAATACCAACACTTTGGGAGGCCAAGGCATGCGGATCACCTGAGGTCAGGAGTTTGACACCAATCTGACCAACATGGAAAAACCCTATGTCTACTAAAAATACAAAATTAGCTGGGCGTGGTCACGCATGCCTGTAGTCCTAGCTACTCAGGAGGCTGAGGCAGGAGAATTGCTTGAACCTGGGAGACGGAGGTTGTAGTGAGCTGAGATCCCAACATTGTACTCTAGTCTGGGCAACAAGAGCGAACCTCCATCTCAAAACAAACAAACAAAAAACAAAATACATTGTTTTGGTTAGGGAGGATAGATTTTTCTGTAGCTATAATGGAGAATTGCTGACTGTTAAGTGTCTGAAAGGTAGAACTATAGATCCTTATTGAGTCCAGACTTCCCAAAAGGATTGAATTTATCAAAATTAGGAGGTAGTTTCTAGGAGTGTGACAACAGAATTATCTTGAATTAGAAAGCAAACTACTTCCAGCCAGGCATGGTGGCTCATGCCTATAATCCCAGCACTTTGGGAGGCTGAGATGGGCAGATCACCTGAGCAGTTCAAGACCATCCTGGCCAACATGGTGAAACCCTGTCTCTACTGAAAATACAAAAATTAGCTGGGTGTGGTGGCACATGCCTGTAATCCCAGATACTTGGGAGGCTGAGGCAAGAGAATCATATGAACCCAGGAGGTAGAGATTATAGTGAGCTGAGATTGTGCCATTGCATTCCAGCCTAGATGACAGAGGGAGACTCTGTCTCAAAAAAAAAAAAGAAAGAAAGAAAGTAAACTACCTCTTAATATTGATTTGAAGGACTTGTTAGACTAGTTTTATTTCTATTATGCCAAATACAAATTGGGTCTGTTATTCCAGCTTGCATGACCTTTAAGACAGAGTAACAGAAATAAGTCTTACAGGTGCAACCCACTGAGAATTTCTGGGGAACATTTTATTATCTTGAACATACCTGTGGAACCTGTTGTAAGGCAGGAAATCTCACACATGGCTTGTATCAGCATTTCTCCTGTTTTAGGACCACCTACAGTACTTGTTTAAAAATGCAGACTCTTTGACCCTACCCCAGCTTACTGATTCGGAATTTATACACTTAAGTTTGGGAATCCCTGATTTAAGAGAATTTGTGAGTAAATTTGTAAGGGAATCAATAGAAACATTAAAATTTTATTGTCACCTTATAAAGCTGAGACAGTTGAACTTTAAGACTTTAAGTGGAATTTATAGGGTAAACATGGCTTATTATAGGATAATATGAATATTCTTGGAATATTCATTTATTAGACAATTAAAAAGAAAAAAATTTAGTTCCCCTGATGAGGATGTACAAATATGTTATTTGTATAGTAAAACCAGCATGTAATTGTTAGAGTGACCGCTGCAAAACAGTCACTCTATGATGTTATGATGAAACATAACAGTTCAAAGGAATATTATCTTATTTTTCTTTTCTTTCTTGTTGTTTAAAAAACTGAGAAAACTTGGAACCAGGAATATTATCTTTTCAAAGGATAATAGATTATGCCTTCACAGTCCTTCTTCCATCAAGTTTGAGATGGACTGCCCTAAATTTTACTAAGCTAAGAGCAACTCCAGGAGTTCTTTAATGCATTTGGAACAGATCAGAACTGCTTGAGAAACATTTAGAATGTCATATAATCTATATACATTTCTAGAGCCAATCATAATTATTAAATAAGGAAGATCTCATCCAGGGGCATTCATTAGGTAACTTTTATCTCTAGATGGTAGGGCTAGCTTGAGATTTTTACTGTAAAAAGCTTTTAACCTGGTTATTTAGCACCTAGGAAATAGGCTTTACCTACTTGCCAGTGAAGATTTTGAGAAGTTTGGTTGGTTCAAACGTAGGAAAGCTAAAGGTACTTTTCCCAGATTGGACAACATTAAATACTAGTTAAATGGGATATGTGAAAGCAGTGGAGACTTGGTTGGAATTTTGTTGTCAGATGGTTAAATCATGAATGTTATATTGAAATGTATTGAGCTGATTACTTAGGTCAAGGATTATTTTCAAATATTCAAATCCAAGACTGGGTGCAGGTGCCTCATGCCTATAATCCCAGCACTTTGGGAGGCCGGGGTGGGTGGATCAAAACCCCATCTCTACTAAAAATATAAAAATTAGCTGGGGATGGTGGCGCACGCCTGTAGTCCCAGCTACTCAGAAGGCTGAGGCAGAGGAATTGCTTGAACCCAGGAGGCAGAGGTTGCGGTGAGCCGAGAATGCACCATTGCATTCCAACCTGGGTAACAAGAGCTAAACTCCATCTCAAAAAAAAAAAAAAAAAAAAGATTCAAATCCAAGAAACCTAACTTTGCATATAGACCCGACCCTTTGGTGGCATCTACGATTTCTTTTCCCACATGAAATTACAAGTTCAAGAAGTTTTTTTAAAAGATGTGTAGGCATTAAGACTTTGACTGGTTGTGAAGTTAAGTGAACTACATGTGGAAAACTTACCTTTTTTTTTCTGCTCACTGAATTTCTGATTTTGAAAATCTGCTGGTTGTAGTGGCTCACACCTTGATTGATTGATTGATTGGAAACAGGGTCTCACTCTGTCACCCAGGGTGGAATGTAGTAGTGTAATCATGGCTTACCAAAACCTTGACCTCCTGGGCTCAAGTGATCCTCCTGCCTTGGCCTCCCAAAGTGGTAGCATTATGGGCATGAGCCACTGTGCCTGGCCAAGCTCATGCCTACAAACACTTTGGGAAGCCAAGGCAGGAGGATCCCTTGAGCCCAGGAGTTTGCGATGAGCCTAGGCAACAAAGTGAGACCCCATCTCTACAAAAAATAAAAAATCAGCCAGGCCTTGTGTAGTCCCAGTTACTTGGAAGGCTGAGGTGGGAGGATTGCTTAAGCCCAGGAGTTTGAGGCTGCAGTGAGCTATGATCCCACCACCGAACTCTAGGCTGGGCAACAGAGCAAGACCCTGTCTCCAGTGTGGGAGGGGGAGGGGGAGAAAGAATATGTACCAGGCCATTTGGTGGAAATGAAGCCATTAGAGATTTTAATAGTTGCAAATAATACTTTCCTCTTGTGATTCTCCCTTTCAGAGCACAAACCTCAAGATTCTATCTGAATTTTTTGAAATATTCTTAAATGTCTGCCTACATTTAAATTAAGACCAAGTTGAGCTTAAAATGATATATACTCTTTTGAGATATGCAGAATATATGGAGATAGCTATTATGGGCCCTGGGCAGTTTCTGGGTCCACATGAGTTTGTGAAAGTACATAGTCTGATGAAAGTGGCAAGATTAGTTGAGTTACCATTAGAGCCATCAGTCTGGAATCAGAAGTGAGATGCATTCTGACTTAAATCTAGGTCCCTGAAGTTGAGTTTTTAAAAATACCAGTGTTTGCCAGGCACGGTGGCTCATGCCTGTACTTCTAGCACTTTGGAAGGCTGAGGGGCTGGATCACCAGGTCAGGCATTCGAGACCAGCCTGGCCAACATAGTGAAACCCTGTCTCTACTAAAAATACAAAAAATTAGCTGGGCGTGGTGGCGAACACTTATAATCCCAGCTACTCAGGAGGCTAAAGCAGGAGAGTTGCTTGAACCTGGGAGGCGGAGGTTATAGTGAGCTGAGATCTCGCCATTGCATTCCAGTCTTGGCGACAGTATGAGCTCTGTCTCGAAAACAAAAAAGCAAAAACCAGTGTCATTGACATTATCAGTAATGTTCAATGGCTGGCCTTAAATGCTTTGTTTCAGTAAAGTTGATTAAATATTAATTTTTGGATGGTTTTATTGTACATTAAGAGAAAACAACACACAGTACTTTCCTATAATTATTATCAACAAAACCTTGAGGGTTCCTTTCCTAGACCAAGTTAATAAATGGAGCTTCAGAGAAAGGCTATGACTGAATTAGAGATTAAGCCAGGGCTTTTAATAGTAAAAAACAGAGGCCGGGTATGTGGCTCATGCCTGTAATTCCAGCACGTTGGGAGGCCAAGGAGTATGGATCACTTGAGGTTAGGGGTTAGAGACCCAGCCTATCCAAAATGGTGAAACCCTTTTCTACTAAAAATACAAAAAACTTGCCAGGCATGGTGGTGGGCGTGGTGGCGGGCGTCTGTAATCCCAGCTACCCCGGAGGCTGAGGCAGGAGAATCACTTGAACCCAGGAGGCAGAGGTTGCAGTGAGCCAAGATCATGCCACTGCACTCCAGCCTGGGCAACAAGAGTGAAATTGTCTCAAAAAAAAAAAAAAAAAAAAAAATTGAAATCATAGGAATCATTTAACCTCTTTCTGTTTGTCATTGGGTACCATGGAATATCAAAAGATATTTTTAAAATATTGCTTTGATTAGTTTTCATAGTTACTTTTATATCTAAAATTTCTGCATTCAGACAGTTGATTTATTAGTATGAGGGGGCAAAATGCTAAATATCTTACAAAATGTTGAAAAGGAAATGAAATTAAACAATGAAGCTGGACTGTTTTCAGCTGA